TTTATAGTCCTTATCCGAGAAGACTTGTTCTACCACCAGAACCATAGGCGAGCGTGCCGTTCGAACCAGCGCCGATATTATGGCTATAGCTTGCGGCGCCCCTGCTAACCGCTCGCCCATTCGACTCACCTCCCAAATGTGGCAAAAAAATAGTTATAAAGTGGGTATATGGTTCATTTCAGCATTTTCTTTGTGAAAAGATGTGAATTAAGCAGCTTTCCATGGCTGCTACGGTAGTCACGGACCACACCCATACGCAATTCACAATTGCAAGTTGTGGGTTATTCTGCTACCTACCATATTACTTCACCTTTATACATCTGAATCAAAATTAAAAAGATAAAGCAATCATCCTCCATAATATGTGAGGTCTCGCCACAAAATGAGTTTCATGGTTAGAAATTGAAAGATTGAGTTTACTATATTTGGTAAATCATATTATAAGCTTTCATTTGGCCTTTGAATGGCTTCTCTACTATGACTAGAATTACAAAATATGTGCAGAGAACACTGTTTTGGCAAGAAAATTCACTTACAAAGTATACAGTCATAAAATATAAGTACCAAGTTATTCAAAACATTAAAATCAAAATTTTGTAAAAATGTTGATTTTGGCCTGTTTTGGTGAATATCTCAATACAATTTCACCAACGATGGGTCTCATTTCGTGGTGAGACATTACATATGTCCTCATTATTAAAATTATCAATAACAGACTTCTATGATGCAATCAGCCTTTTACAGTATCTGTCTTTATATATCTTCAAATTTCTTGCAATGGTACATAAGTGTGGCTACTGTAAATCTCATTGTTCATTGTCTTACTGTTTTATTGTATTCTCTTATTTTTTTTTTGTAGGGTGGCATGTTGGTACAGTCAGCCAGAATGTTAAGAAACAGTGGTATACAGCTTCAGGAGTAGTAAAAGTGAGAGAGTGGATAGCAACATAAGAGTACAATGTGCTGGTAAGTGGAGAAATATTAATTTTTTTCATCCAATTGTGATATAGGCTACTAGAGTGTTAGCCATATTGTGGTTCCTCTGGTTTCACAGTTTTTCTTAATTATTCTGGTTTATTATTAAAACATTTAATTGGCAGCACAAACTGAATTCCATTAAAATTTATATATGCAAAATAATACAATAGAAAACAGACACAAAAATAATTAAAAACAGTTAAAACAATCAGAAAACAATTATGTATCAAATATCAAAAAAATCTAATATATATTCCTTTCTCCCCCCCCCCTTTTTTTTCTGTAAAAAAGGGAAAAAAAGGCCTTTTGAGAAAGAAATTGGTAAATCAATTTTGACATTTGAAAGATGATTTTGTTTCTAAATTTCACTTTACGTAACCAGAAAAATAAATTTTTTTTAAATTGTAATATTTCATTATACTGTATTATGTGGTTACAATTTTTGTAACATATGCTGAAAGCAGTAAAACAAAAAATTGTATTTACTCAGTATCATAACATTTCAATCTGATAGCATGTTGTCCTAGATTGGAAAGGTTGACAAATAATTATTTCGGGATGTGTTATAGTCAACTTTTATACAACTGATGATTGGTGTTGAATATATATATGCAAATACAAACCCTATGAAATAATGTTATTTAAGAAAATAATTTAAATTAATATTAAACATTTACTTTTAAAACCATTTTTATTAATGTAAGTCTTAATATTTGAAAAAAACTTAAAATTTTAATCTAATAATATGATTTATTTTATTTTTTATTACAGGCTCTTTTTTGACTCATTTGCATAATGCACTAGACAATGGCCTCATCACAATGATGTAATGATAATGAATATTCATAGTCAGGAAATTGCTGAAATGACACCACAGCAAAAGCAACTTCTTGACAGCATATATATCTTCAGCATGTATATCCAGGTAGCGCCTGGATGGTAATGCATTGAGTGTTGCATGTGTAACATCCTACTGCTTGGAAAGGCTGACTGTCCAGATTTGGACTAACGTTTTCAAGTAAGTCCAGAATCGGATCAATACTTCCTTCATTTTTATCACTAACCGCCTTGACAAACAATTCACCTAATCATATCCATCCATTTTATTAATTTCTGTTTTATGGTTAAAACATTTTGAATTGCTTAGAAATTTACATAGAGAAAACCAATACACAAACAATGATTTAAAACAGTTAAAACAATGTGTTTCATGCTTTTATATTGTCTTTTCATAGGACAGACAAAATGTTCTTATTTTGTCCTTATTTTACACACTTTTCAAACATAGAAAATTATTATTGTGCAGCAGTATACTACTATAGTGGAATGTAGGTAAAATGGCCGCTGAAAAAAGAGCTCCGAAAAAAATGGCCCCAGAAAAAAGGCCCGCTAAAAATGGTCCCAAATGACAGTACACACCAATCACCAATTTAAAGGGTATTACATAGTCACAACTACTGCACATTAGGTAGAGACATAATTTTTTTTTTGGTTTTTCTGTTAAAAAAATAAATAATAGCCTCATTTACCTCCTCCTCAATTTGTTCTTATTTTGTTTTTAATTTTTAAGCAATTTCAGCCTCAGTGTTCTTATAAAATTTGTTCTTATAAAAGAAAGTGCAGTCAATATTATAAAGCATTTATATCGCTATGGACTACCGCTAAATTAACTTAACAATATTTCACAAGTTTTCCACAACATTGCCAAGTTATTCAAAACATTAAAATCAAAATTTTGTAAAAATGTTGATTTTGGCCTGTTTTGGTGTATATCTCAGATACAATTTCACCAACGATGGGTCTAATTTCGTGGTGAGACATCACATATGTCCTCGTAATTAAAATTATCAATAACAGAAATGCTATGATGCAATCAGCCTTTTACAGAGTCTGTCTTTATATATCTTCAAATTTCTTGCAATGGTACATAAGTGTGGGTACTGTAAATCTCATTGTCATTGTTCATTGTCTTACTGTTTTATTGTGTTCTGTTATTTTTTTTTGTAGGGCGGCATGTTGGTACAGTCAGCCAGAATGTTAAGAAACAGTGGTGTACAGCTTCAGGAGTAGTAAAAGTGAGAGAGTGGATAGCAACATAAGAGTACAATGTGCTGGTAAGTGGAGAAATATTTAATTTTTCTCATCCAATCGTGATATAGGCTACTAGAGTGTTAGCCATATTGTAGTTAATAATCTTTGTTATTTGTTATAAATTTTAAGATTGTTTAAAAAAAATACATATACGTGGTTCCTCGGGTTTCACAGTTTTTCTTAATTATTCTGGTTTATTATTAAAACATTTTAATTGGCAGCACAAACTGAATTCCATCAAAATTTATATATGCAAAACAATACAATAGAAAACAGACACCAAAATAATTAAACAGTTAAAACAATCAGAAAACAATTATGTATCAAATATCAAAAAAATCTAATAGATATTCTTTACCCCCTCCCTCTATTCTGTAAAAAAAGCCTTTTGAGAAAATACTAATAATGAAACTGGTAAATCAATTTTGACATTTGAAAGATAAAAATTTTGTTTCTAATTTTACTTTAATTTTTTACCAGAAAAATGAGATCTTTTAATCACAATATTTCATTATACTGTATTTTTGTAACATATGCTGAAAGCAATAAAATAAAAAATGCTGTCCAAGATTGGCACGGTTGGCAGATATTTACTTGGGATGTGTTATAGTCAAGTTTTATACAACTGATGATTGGTGTTGAATATATATACAAATACAAACCCTATGAAATAATGTTATTTGATAAATTAATACAAACCCTATGAAAATAATTGTATTTGATAAATTAATTTAAATTAATATTACACATTTACTTTTAAAACCATTTTTATTAATGTAAGTCTTAATATTTGTTGGTTAAAATTTTAATCTAATAATATGATTTTTTTTAAAATTACAGGCTCTTTTTTTGACTCATTTGCATAATGCACTAGACAATGGCCTCATCGCAATGATGTAATAATGAATATTCATAGTCAGGAAACTGCTGAAATGACACCACAGCAAAAGCAACTTCTTGACAGCATATATATCTTCAGCATGTGTATCCAGGTAGCACCTGGATGGCAGTGCATTGAGTGTTGCATGTATAACATCCTACTGCTTGGAAAGGCTGACTGTCCAGATTTGGACTAACGTTTTCAAGTAAGTCCAGAATTGGATCAATACTTCCTTCATTTTTATCACTAACCGCCTTGACAAACAATTCATCTAATCATATCAATCCATTTTATTAATTTCTGTTTTATGCTTAAAACATTTTGAATTGCGTAGAAATTTACATAGAGAAAACAATACAGTAGAAAGCCAATACACAAACAATGATTTAAAACAGTTAAAACAATATGTGTTTCATGCTTTTATATTGTCTTTACATTGGACAGACAAAATGTTCTTATTTTGTCCTTATTTTACACACTTTTCAAACATAGAAAATTATTATTGTACAGCAGTATACTACTGTACTGGAATGTAGGTAAAATGGCCGCTGAAAAAATAGCTCCAAAAAAAATGGCCCCAGAAAAAAGGCCACTAAAAATGGTCCCAAATGACAGTACACACCAATCACCAATTTAAAGGGTATTACATAGTCACACCTACTGCACATTAGGTAGAGACATAATTTTTTTTTTTTTCTGTTAAAAAAATAAATAATAGCCTCATTTTACCTCCGCCTCAATTTGTTCTTATTTTGTTTTTAATTTTTAAGCAATTTCAGCCTCAGTGTTCTTATAAAGGAAAGTGCAGTCAACATTATAAAGCATTTATATCGCTATGGTCTACCGCTAAATTAACTTAACTTAACAATATTTCCCAATTTTTCCACAACATTGCCTTTAATTGATTTGAATACATCATTCTGACACCATGTACGTTGTTCGACACAATAAAATTACCTAGTTAACAATTCATAAAATGATGTAAGTAAATAGTACTTTTAGCTGGCAATTTATTTTCATTCGTGACCATGTGAGTCGTTTGTATTTTCAATGTCTTAAGTAAATAGCGACAACTATACAATGATACATGAAAGAGAAATAGTTTGGTTTGGTTGAGTCTGAAATCTGGCGTTCGGCAAACAGGATTTCATGTAACTTCGGTAGGGTAATATGTATGTGAGTGGTGCTTTAATGCATAGGTTACAGCCTGTGCAAACCGAATCAACAGGGCTCTGAAAAAAAGTTATGGATAATTAATAATTAACATTGACTTTTTTTGATAAGAAAAAAAAAGTGTTAAAGGAGAATATTCAGTGACAAGTCCCAGCACAGTAGAACTTTAAGAAAGTGAACTATGTAGTACTGTGAACTCAGAATTTACCAAATGCAGACAATGTTTTATTTAAAATTATTTAAAAAATTACAAATAAATCAACTGCTTTTTCACATTTTTTAGGTCAACCAACTTTGAACTCATTCATTTTAGAACCTATTACAAAATTTTCAAATTAAAAAATGCAAAAATTAATGTCATCATTTGGTTGTACTAAAACTTTGGCTTCAAAAATATTCCTTCAGAATTATTTTTTTTTGAAAAAGAGTTACAAATTGTAGTAACATGATTTTAAATAAGAACCAATTCACAATTATTTTAAAACAATGTAGGTCTATATTTGTGAAATGATAACTTAAAGTGCTCCAGCTCACTACACTAAATTTAAGGATTATTTATAAGCATTTTAGAATATTTTTTCAACCTATTGTTTTGAAAGTGTAAATCACATTTTTACAATGGCTCACAAGCTATGATGTATATATTCACAACTTCATCTGAAGCACCTCTTCAAAATCATGACTCGGCAATTAGTGATCATCGCTTTTGACCAACCGATGCAACAGATTTCACGAATTGTAAATTGTATCAAATCAAAGTTCACTGGTGTATTAGTGCAGATTTTTATTTTGACTGAATTTAATCGCAACGTCTAAACATGAAAAAATTGAAAAATATGACATAAATTAGATTCAAACTTAATATTTGTGATAAAGAAATTAAAATAGTAAATAATTAAATTAGGTAAACATATTAATATAAAATTCGTACCAATATTTTCATTCTGCATATAATTAATTATGTTGTGATACATGATTTCAATTGAATTATTTGACCAAATTTAGATATTTTTTTTTCTGTAATTACATTTATGGCAAAGACAACCCAAAACCAGTCAGTCGCTATGAAATGGTGCAAAAAAATCTTGCACATTTCCTTTAATAATAAAGTGTTTCAACATACAACTGTTTAAAGAACAATATTTGAGAAATCACCCTTCAAAATATATTATTTCAGGAATTCCTAAGACAGAAACTATCAAATCTTTAAAAATTGTTTTAACATTGAAAATGGGGAAAATAACATGATATTAAAATATGATGCCAGTTAAAACTGAACAAAGTCATGCTTGTCAAAGGCATTTAGGCCATGTAAAAAAAATAAAATGTTCTCGTCGCCCGCCGCATTCTTTTTTGTGGCCGCCTTCTTTTTTTTTTCCCTAGTAAAACTTCGAAAATATACCTGAGAAATGAAATGTCTTTGCAAAAAATGCCTCTAGGCCTAGCCCACATACGATACCCATGTCAACACACGGTACACCGCCGATACGACAGTGATTTTTGATCGCTGATCTCGCGATAGATACCTACCGAAACTTTCTTCTGTGTTCCTCTAATATTCCGTGCCAGACTGTAATTGTTTCAATTTCCCCGATTCCTGTTCGATCGCTACTACAGTACGCTAAGAATTGTATGTTTAGCTTTGTTGTATTTGGGACGGACCGCTGACTTTCCACAATTTTGAATCATTCTAGAATTGAAAAGCATGCTCTCTTCTCTCGCTTGTGTCAACTCTTGAGGAAAATAATATTTTACGATCGCATTTCATTCGATATCTGAAAACATACGGTATATTGATTTTCGACCATATTTCATATAAATCTTTTTATCAAAGATTCTATAATGGCAGGGCTGGTGTGCATTCAAATACGCACAAAAAAAAAAGATTTTAAAGAAATATAAAACAAATACTGTGTGAACTAAATTCAATATACAGTAGTATAGCTTTCTGCTGTATAATATAATGTACAGTAGTATGTTCACATTGTATTTAGAATTAAGTAGTGAGACACGCATCTTTGGAGACTGTTTCACGGCCATGGCCAGCGAAGAAGAAGAAAAAAAAAAGGGGCCCCCCCCCTCATCGTCCTCTTTTTTTAAATTATGTGATGAGAAACATGTTTTTTTTTTAACTTGGCCTTAATTATTGCCAAGGCATGATCACACTGCTGTTAGACCATTAAAAAAAAGTAATAGTAATAAATTTAGCCACTGAAAATTTATTTTTTCTTTCTATCCTTGGCTTTCTTTTCCATTAAAAAAAAGTAATAGAATCATGAAAGTTGTTCTAATAATCCAGCGGACTCCTTTGCCTTGGCGGATCCCCAATTATTTTTTTCAGACCCCAGGTTGGGAACCAATGTTCTATGTTTAAATAAAATTAATAAAATGTTGGGACACTACTCGTCAAAATCTATTTACTAAGTCATGAAGCCTGTAATGTTCTTTTTTTATGGACCATTATTTAACAAAATGATACTTTTTTCCCTCATGGCAGCAGTGCAAATATTTGTAAAAAAAGAAGGGTGTTAATGTATTTTTGCTAAATTAACGACAACAGGCGATAGACAAAAGATGAAACAAACAAATCACCAGTCCTTCAATTCAATTTTTATTGCTGCATAAAAGTCACCTGCTGTATGCACGAGACCATCATCATAATTAGGGAGATATACAATAATTTTTGAATTATCCCTCGAGTCAGCATTGATTACAAAAAATATGCATTGCGTTAAGGTAGCCTAAACAATGCCTATTGTGTCTATTTCTACATACATTCTGTAGCGTATTGCTGCTACTTAATACTACTACAGGCCTAGGGATAGACCTACTTCAAAAAATGAGCAAACACCTACTGTATAGAAAGATGGCCCTGACAAACATTTGCTAACTATTCGAGATTCCAACCTGCAATTTAGTAAAAAGAAGCTGGTTACCAGTATGTACCATTAAATAATGCGTGGGATGTCTCTGCCGATAACTGCAAAACATTCAACTTGTTACTGAAATATTTAAAGACGTCATAATTTACACCAGCCAGTCAGAGAAATAGACCGGTAAAATATCGATATTAGCATATTGCTGATCGCCGGCATAATAAACACTTCCTAAAAATAATGGTTTAATTGTGCAGATGATATCTCAATGCAAAACAACAGAAGATTGCCTGGAAAATAGGGGTGCAGAATTGTCAATTCTGCATAATACATTGGTTGTTCAGATTATGTCTACTTTTAAATAATTATTTCAAACTTATTGAAACCAATTGTGATAAAGAACTTGGACATAGTAAATAATTAAATTAAGTAAGTATATAAATATAAAATGCAATATCATTTTCATTCTGCATTTTCATTTGACCAAATTTAGATATTTTTGTTCTGCAATTACATTTGTTCAGCCTTTCAAAATTAGGAAAGAAGTATGTTGGCAAAAATAAAATGAAAATCGCTGGCGCTATAAAATTGACGACGGTTATAACGTCAGCAGTTTTTAGTTTCTGCTACAGCCCTGAAATCAACCCATGCTGACCTGTTATGTTCAAATTCACAACTACGTTTTGATAAAATAAAATACTTTCAGAAAACTGGATTACCCCTATTCTGAATTCCGGATATTTTATTCAGTCTGGAACATTAAAATCAACTTCTATAAACCGAACAAACAGTTAATCGATTTCCAGACGAAATAACACAATAATCATCGCTGTCTATTAATTAACAACTAGGCCTAGTACAACACCATGTGAATGGCCCGGCGTACAGCTAGCTCAGTCACAAAAGCATTGTCATAGAGATTATCTATTGATTAAAACAACACACCATTAGGCCTAAATGTTAAATTATGTAAAAGTTACTGTACTCCTTACGCCTACGCCTAATCCTTAAAAATCGATTTCAATCAATCCCTGAAATGAAGACGGAACTAAAAGCAAGTTTAATATGACGGCTGACTTTTTTCAGTAGACGTTTCGGATTTGGATGTCGTAGATTTGTCAGTGTAAATTAGAAATGCATAGATTTATTCATTCCTCAAAAACATGGTGCTAATTACTGAGGAAATTCGTAGAGAATGAAATTCCAACTTTTTAGCTTTATTTAGATTTGACTGTAAAACAAAACCACAAAATTAATCAGTTGCACTGAGCTTGTTCATGTTTGCAAGACATCCATGACCCACAAAAAAAATTAACCAATTAGCGGGCAGAGTTTAGGAAGTACGACCTAATGTTTACACGAAGAATGTGTTGTATTTAGAAAAAAAATTGTCAGACCAAAAATGCATGTAAAGACAATATAAAAGCATGAAACACACAATACTCATAATACAACATAAGACATTAAATAACTTGCTTTAATATAAAATAAAGTTTAATATGTTGACGGCGATTAATATGTTATTGATAGTGCAAGTAGATTTTTAATATTTTGACATTTCTGCATGTTTTGACCATTATCTCTACAACGCGATTTGCAATGAGTGACTAGTTTGCTAAATTAGCAATAAAACATTTTGATATTTATTGTGTATTTGAAATTTCTCATCCTGAATCTAATTACTTGGTCATTTATTTTGCAGTAGAAATTCTGAAGAAACTTGGACATTAATTGTACCTCCTTTTGCAACGAGTCAACCTGCCCTGCTAGCCAGTATTACTGTGTTGCTTCTTCTACTGAATGGTGAGTGTGATGGCAAAAGTTTGTGAATGTTTAATATGTCCATTGTAAATTGCATATCCATTGCAAATGTCTTTGTGGGACAAGAAAGTTTGTTTTACATATGAGTTGTTTAATAAGTCATTTTTTCCCCTGTAAGCATAACAATCATTTTGGTACAACTTATACTTCCCTATTTCATAATTAAATTTTAATAAATATTTAAAATTGCATTTATTTGAAAATATTAGCCTTTTAATTTTTCCGTTAACCTCTGATACCATTTATATTATTATTAGCAGTAAATTGGTGTCGCTGACTGAATAAAACGTGTATACTTTATTGGTTACATCAAAGATACTAGAAATACAAGATAGAGTTCTCGCATTGTAAAAATGAGGCGGAAGTCGTGCCCAACGTAGACGGCGCCATTCTTTTTAACCATGCAAGTTTCCTATACTTCGTGCCCAACGTACAGGGCGCCCTTCTGTTGCTAAGTATATCCAGACGCAAAAGGCGCCCTTCCTTTTCCACTAATGGAGGAAAACTT